TTTAAGACGATGAGAGATATTTCCAGGCAAAATGAATTTGCGCGCCAAAACTTAAACATCGAAGTTTTTACTGGTTGAAGTGAGCTCAGCTGAGGAGGAAGCAGATAAGGTTGCTTTTATCTTAGAAGTACCATGGCGTGTGGGACGTCAAGTATATCGTGCAAATTACCACGGCGGCACAGACACCTTTTTTCGTTGCACAATTTTTATTCCCATACTTGATAATTATTTGGATCAAATAAGTGTGATATTTTAATAATGTGAATATAGTTTTAGTATCATAAACAAAATTACAGAAACCTTGAAAAAGTTTAAGGAGAATAGTTACAATTTGTGGAAATTTTTGCAATATGTCTCCACAGGATTTCCATATTGAATACAATTTATAAATGTGTATGTATGTATTTAGCTACATATGTGTTTATGTGTCTTGTTGTAGTATCCGGTGACCATCCGTTCTGTTTTTTGCAGGACCGTACTGTTTTTCAAAGGTCGGTCCTGCGTAGTTTTTCAAACCTGAAAAACCTGAAAATGTACTGATTTTTTCCAAGTGTCCTGCATGTGTCCCGCATTTTATTCGTCATTTTTTTAAATTATCGGACAATGGATGGATTTTTTTCAAAAAAGGGTTTTTTTGGTACTTTTCGTAGCTTTTCTTCAATATCTCATGAAAAAATCTCCCAATAAACGTAAGCGACTTACAACTCGAAGGGTATTAATGTGCCTCATACCAAAATATATAACTTGTAGCGACTTCAATGAAAATTATTAGTGCTACAGGCGACCATTTGCATTTTGTCGTCAAAGTCGAAAAAAGAAAGATTTTCAATCAAATACGCAGTTTCATTTGATTATTTTTTTCATTATTTTAAAAATTCGATAAAGAAGATATATCATTACAGTAAATTTTGAGCCAAAGATAATGAAAATCGGATTAGAAATGTAGATGCTATGGAGCGCAATCTGCACTAATTATATAATTCTGTAAAGGGCACTTTGTAACTCGTCGTTTACGTCGATTCATGACCTCGATTTTTGACAAATAACTGCGAAAAGTACCAAAAAACAAAAAAAAGGTATTGCTTTCATTTTGAACGACTCAAAATTTGCCTATAAAATAATGTTTTAAAGATTTTCACTTTTCGTGTAAGCTATTGTAATTATAATAAATTTTACTATACTTTTATAAATATTCATGTAAAAAAAAGATTAATATCGATTAAGAAAACGTGATTAATTTTTAAAGTTTAAAATGTATTAAGAATTTAGAATCATAAATACTCTTTTGATATTATTATACTACGTAAATATATGTAGGCATATTTTTGAAAAATTGTCCTTCATTTTGAATCCATATTTATGGTCACCGTAAGTATAACACAACGCATACATATTTCAACAGAAGTACAATGCCAAAATATCACGTTCTGGGGTAAAATTCTATTTTCAACAACAATATTAACAATCGTTACAACTTTTTGCTACATTTCCATAAGTTATGATTCAATTGTGTTTAGAAATTTCTAAACACACTATACACTATTATTAGTACGTGCATATGTATTTAATATTACCATGAATTCCTGTTTCGAAAGTTTTAAACACATTAATATATTTACATACAGTACACTAGGCATGTTTCGAATGTCATATTTTCTACATTCGCGAATGCGAATGCAAATTTTCGAAATGCGAATGCGAGAATGCGAATGTTAGGAATAACATAAAAAAAGCTATAATCAACTTAAGTCATCGTTTTTATTACTTAAATATTTTGTAAATTAATTTAACGAGTGCGTAACCTATACAGTTTTTGAATCTAGTAGTCAAAGTTCAAACGGGGAGTATTAAATTTCAAACAAGGTAATTTTCCTGCCTTTTCTCCCATGAGGCGATTTCTTAGAGGCTCGTATATAAGGCCGGAATGCTGACAGGTGGAGCGCTCAAATATTTAGTTTTCCACCAATCCAGGGGATTTTCACTGAGATGAGCTCGCTTTTCTTTAAGACAGGCCTTTAATTGGGCTTTAATTTCACATTTGTTAATGTCTCCAGATTCTGAAATTATTTCTATCAATATTAATATAACTACTTAGCCGTTTAGCGCCTGAAGCTAAAAGCCGGTAATTGTCTGCATCCTTGTTAGAAAGACTTAAAGCATAAACGGACGGCAGCGTTGATCCGGATCAACTCGGGAATTAACTGCAGTTGATCCGGATTAAGCCGTCTGTTTGAGCTTTTAGACAACAATACTAGAGTGGACTCTCTGCCCTTGTACACATTCGCATTCGCAAAACAGTCGTATCATTTGATGCATCATTCGAATGCGAATGCAAATATTCGCAACATCCCTGACGTACACATTACATTGAATAAATTTGTTTGTTTAAGTTTAGTATATCCATTTATACACATGTTTGTTTGTACATAAGTAAGTATCCATGTACGCGTTAGAATCGTTTGTTTACTATGTAGTTGAAATTATTACATATTATTCATTTTAAATGACTTTGCTAAAATTGAGTCCTTTTTGCGATTTAAACATCTAAAAAATATCATAAATGTCAATTAAGTTAGAAGTATTTAGATTTATTACAAAGAAAAGATTGCATGTGTTTCTTATTAAAAAAACATGTTCGTTTTCTTTTAGGCTATATTTTTCACTTTTTTAATTTTTTTTTTCCAGATATTGTTACATATCTATTAACTAAGAATTTGTCGTCAACTAAAATATGCAACGAACTAAGTATCTACATAATTATTTCCGAGATCGTATTAATCATATGGCGACGAGAGCCTTTGCAATAAATTATAACAAGCTACTGCTTTTGCTTTTTTTGGCAGAAAATATACATACTCGTACATGTAGTATTTACATACACTGTAGAAAAAGGGGATCAAACTGTGAGCGATTTTGGAACAAAACATACTCCCTTTTAACATAGCTAAACCTAGAAGGGAAAGCGCTCTCCATATGATCAAAAAAAAAAAACAAAACTAGAGCACCCTCGAAATTATCCAAAAATACTAAAAAGAAGTGTAATCCGAAAACCACAGAAAATAGTGCTCTCAATATGATCAGAATTTACAAAATGACAGCGATCTGCACATGTCTAAACAAAGACCAAAGTAGAGTGCTTGAGAGGTAATCAAAAAGACATACTAAAGTTTTATTTTCTTTTATACTAAATAGTTTATACTTATACACACCAATTTATAAAAAGATAAAGTCTTTAAATGCATTATAAATCGAAAATTTGTGTGCAAATGTCACTTTGTAAAGCTTAAGTTAAGGCATGGCATATATTTATTAGCTGATGGCACCCATTTTTGTGAGCACATGGGAAGTATGTGAAAAAATTTTGAAATACTAGATCTGAAATTTACACCAATTTTTATAATTTGTTCCAAAGAAACTAGTCTCCTTTATGTATTACTTCGAAAAGAATGTTTCATTCCGAGTAAAACTAGGTACCATTTATAAAAATAAATATACAAATTCGGAAGTTATTAAATTTCTAAAGAATATCCAAAGCCACTTAGATGTTCGTAATAGCACAAAAAATTTTATTCAGTTGGAGATTGGATTCACCCTGAAGTTTCAATAGTTCGTCTAGAAAAAATTAAAAAAAAAATTGGCTCTTTATAAAAAATGTCACACCTTCATAATTTGATGTTTGATTTAATTGAATGGTACCTAGTTTTATACGAAATGAAACATTATTTTCAAAGTAACGACTATAAGATACTATTTTCTTTTAAAATTTCCGATACAAATTTTATAAAAGTGGAAAAATGTATAAAAATGGTGTCGATTTCTGATATATTCCAAAAACTTTCCACATATTCTTCTTTCTTAGCCATATAAAAACCTAAAATTAGCTAAAAAAAAAACATTTAAAATTTTTTACCACCGGGAGTCATGCGAAAATGTTTTTTTTAAGAATAAGTTGAGAATTGGAGGGTGTTAGAAAAATTTTGAAAAAAGGTCGGCCAGCTAGCTCTACAATCTGTACTACTAGGTCACTTCGAAAGCTCGTGGATTTTTTTTTTATTTTGTTACACCATGTTATTAAGATTTTGTATTCGTATTGATTTATTAGATTGAATTCAATATCTACAATCAAAATGAATATTTCATGTAGTTTTTAATTTCTCTATTGTACGTTTAAGTTTAGGTGCTCTCGCTTCGTTTTCTCGTTTTCCATATTGAATCCCGAAATTATTCTGAGGATTGCCGACCACTCAGGTGATTTGGCGTCCAAATTTCTACCCCCTGCAGTTGCGGCGGTGTCGAAAGCCTAGAACAAATCCAACCGTATTGGAAGGGTTCACTTACAGGGGCATTTACGGCTAAGTTCGCGAATAATCTGGGCATTTATAGCTGAAATGATGCTGTACACTTTACGGAAGCCATGCGGATGTTTCATTGGGGGCAAGTGTTCTGTTATGGGGCGATAAGACTTCTCTTTATTTGCAGGCTTCCCCGGCTGAGACTGCGGTTCAGATAAGAGCGATTTTTTTGACAGGTTGAGGATCTTGGTTGGGTAAACTATTCCCGCTGGGCCCAGCATCAAATCCGCAAATTGAGCTTCCTGATAGGGAGATGTAGGGGATCGACCTGTCGCAGTTGTGTGACATCAATGCGCACACCAAAAATTGCAGGAGAAGCTCGCCCAAGCACTAGTAAATGTTAATCGCCAATTATTTTTCTTTATTTTGCAGAAACGAAAAGGTAATACTAAAATATTTTTTTTAACTTAAATACTCAATATAAAGTTATGTGTGTATTGATTGACCTACCTAAAATTTTTGGAATTCTTAACAATATACCACATAGTTACTACCTACCTATTTCCACCCACAAATATTACCACAATAATTTTATGTGTTGGTGTTGGTTGATTTTTCCGACAGGGTGGTAAGATGATTTATTTTGGAACGAATTTCCGTCATCCCTTGTCAAGTTTGGTTTGCAAACCAAAATAAATCAATAATTTTACTTCATTTTATAAACAGTTCAGTTTTATTGTCTCCATTTCAAATGTTTGCACTTCAATAAACTGTAACAAATCTAACACTTTTCATGTATAGTAGTTACATAAATTCATACTGTAAAATACTATTTGAGTAAAAAATAAACAAAAGCTTTAATAAAATCACGCAATTATCATGACTTTGGGTGGAATACGTTATTTATAAATTCGGAAATTTACTGTGTGCTAGCCGGCTGAGTTGTCGGCTCCACAGTTGTCGTCGTTATACTTTCATCAACCGTGGTTTGCTCTGATAGCCACTGCGCAATTTTCTGCTTATTCAGCTGCAGCCATTTGATATTGAACTTGACTGTTTCCAGAGCTTGTTTTCGTGCTGCGGTACCAGCACCAGCTTCAGGATATTTGGCAAAGAATGCCTCCATTTCCTCCAATTTCGTTTGTGTGACAAATCGCGCCGTAATCGTTGGAATCAATCGGCCCAAATAACGTTCGTTAATGCCGAAGCGCTCAACTAAATTCGGCCAATTCTCGCGCACATAATCCCACACCAAACTTTGTCCAATGCGATTGCGTGATATGTACGAGAGGCAAGTGAAATAATCCTGGCTACGTACATAGCTCTCGTTCCATGCCAAGTTGATGTAACTGAATAAACAGTAAATATATTATCGTCAAAAGAGAATTTCAACACTTTTCAACAACGCTACTTACCGTTGTAATATCCACGGTGAATTTACTGCCGACAAAGCTTCCATCAATTTGACTTTCTCTTGCGCATCTTGTTCGTTAATGAATAGCTCCCATATCTGATCCCATGACTTTTCATCGCCTACACTTTGCATGCCAAAGTAATACACAGCCCAACGTATATCCGGATCAGGCCTGTCAGTGGAATTGCTAAGCCAAGCGGTAAAACGAGTAGCTGCCTCCTTCAACATGGGCTCATAACCGAAACGGCCGGCCAAATTTAGTAAACTTACACGTAATAGACTGAAATAAAGTTTAATTGTAAATCAGCAATTTGATATGATAAATAATCCCTCTTCTAAAAATATTTACTTATCCAAATGATCAGTGCTCACTGTCCATGTGACATTTTCATAAGCATTCACTATTAGCTTGCGTGCGAAAACTACGAAGTCGCGATATGAATCGGTGTAGTAGAGCAGATTACTGATATCTAAGAGACGCGAACTAGCCACACTCCATGGCACATAATCCAACTCTTTTTCCAGGTATAACACTAAGTTCAGTGCAATGCTGTAGTCCAGCTGTGAAGCATCGGCCAAAGAGAATGCATCATTGATGAGATGTGCGCGATCGGCATTGCTGAACTGACCACGGGCGCTAATTAGGGCGTTCGTTAGTTGCTGCCACTGCTCAGGCGCATAATTAACACGATAATAGCCGACTTGATTTTTGTTAAATTTAATCCAATCAGCAGTGGAGTTAAGAGTTATTTTGACTGTATTGCGTGAATGAAGATAAATGTGTTTGAATTAAGTTTCATATTTAAATTAAGTAACAAGTCAATATGTTTACCCTCGTTATCATTATAATTGAAAATTGTACGCTCAACATCAGCATTGTCACTTGTGTAATACGTGATTGGAATGGACCAATGATAACTGAAAAAAGTAAATGGAAATGAAAACTGCTTAGTAGAATACAAATAAGCAAATACATAACTGCCTAAAAAGTTATTTTACATTTACTATTTATACAAACTAGTAATAACCCCCCGAAATTTGGGGGAATGCATTAAAGAAAGAATTGCTGATATTAAGTATTTGAATTTAAGTAAAAAATAAAGCCTGATATTCATGAATATACCTAAGTGCATGGCTCAAAATGTATCTTCGGAAAAAACATCATTTAACTTTGCATTGCTAGAGACCTGAAAACCCATCTTCATTTTTAAGATTTTAAAGGACCTTACTCTCCTCATAGCTGCGTACAGTAGGCCGTGTGTATATCAGTATTCTTTAAGGTAAAGTCGAACCTTCCACAATGTCTGTCCAAGGGTTTTATTAATTATAATTGCAAAATAAATTATCACTTAAAATGTGCGCCGTATCATGGTGAAAGGCACTAAATGCTTTTCATACTTTTAAACTAATGCTTTATTAACCCTTTAGTCCAAAAATCAAAAGCTGAATCTAATAAATTTGAAAATATGTATGTATGTATACCTGCTAACTTTGGATCGTTCATTTCAAAAATTAAATCAAAAACTTTATAAAGCTCGTAGTTTTTGTTGGAGAGTACTCTAGGTTTTAAAAAAAAAGAAAGAGATTTCTATTTTTTTCTTTCGAGAGATATATTTCAAAATTAAATAATAACTTTATTAGTTTCGAATCTCAATTCCACTGAAAATTGGTTAATATTTTTCAATAGATTACAGTGATCACTGTCTAGTTTTCTGAAACTTTGCGCTTTTGTGAAAAACACGGTCAACTGCGTCAACTGCAACCAGAAAATTTAATTTTATTGTTATAATTTTCTCAAACAATTTTTTCTTAATAACAAAAGCTGCTTCTTACGAAAAACCGCCTATTTATAGCACGGAGAAAAATTACCCAATATATCAGACGCTGAATTATATAAACGTAGAATATAATACGTTCAGAATACCTTAAGGGAATATTTAAATGCTTATTTTTTTACCAAATTCACCGATCTAAAATCCGACAGATTTTGACCAACCTGTAGCTACTCCAGATCGCCCTAACTAAGTCGTATGACTGAGCATTTATATATAGATTAAAGGCATACAACTTTTGGTTTCCTTCAAAACAAAACCTACTTTTTACTATATGAACGAGTAAGCAAAAAATTAACATGAAATATAGTACATATTTTCATTAAAAAAAAACGTTATTGTTAACTACACTGACAATAAAAAGGATAAATTATATAAAACGCCAGCTGCTGGCGCGACATCAAAAACGATTTGATATTTTTATGATTGTTGTTGTTGTTGTTGTAACAGCATACAAACTCCCCAAAGACTTTTTGGGGAGTGTTGCTGGAGTGATTGTACCAGCATGCTGGTGTCGTGATTGGTGAAACTAGCTCAAGTAAAAAGTATTTTGGCTTAAATTTCTTGCACTATATGAGTCAAAGCCGTGTTTGTGAAAGATTAATGTTGATAATATTGCAGTTGTGAAATATAAAAGCCGATGTTTAACCAAATGGTAGAAATATTATGAATTTTCGCCTCTACTCATTTCGATCTTTTCCGGACCTCATTTGTAAACAAATAAATATTGTACCAGCATGTTGGTACGGTATATGCTTCGACTGTATATAGAGAATATTTGACCAAAAAAGGGGAAAAACGTAATCAAATATTGTATTTCTAAGTTTTAATGATGTGATTAAGCTTTCCGTCTCCATGCCACTCACATACATACATATGTATGCACATATTAGTGCCAGTACATATGCTGGAGCAAGAAAATTGGCATAAAAGAATCATGTTTATGCGCTTGGGGGCGTATATTGCTAATATTTTTAGATGTGATGTGATATCAATTTTTATTTTTGATTTTTACTATCGTTTTAATATACATGTATATATGCCCAAGGCCGGCAAAACTCTATAAGCGCTGGCAGAATTGTATAGGCAAGTGCCCTGCGCTGGGCATGCCTGATATACATACATACGTATCGTTACGATAATACAGAACCCTACCAAAACAATTTACCCTATACTCCAATACAATTACATTTTCGTTTGCAAATCTCAAACACAATCACAAATGACTTCAAGAGTTACCTATAAACAAATGCACTGGGAAAATAGGTAAGCACCTTACGAGGTAAGCCATGTTTTCTTTCAGTTTTTAGTACCAAAATTGTCATCATGACCAATGTCATCTACTAGAAAAGCAACAAATTGACCACCTCCGACGACGCACCTCCCACGACAGCCGGTTCTACGTACCGGAATGACTCGGGTTTCACCCGACCAAGGGCTGTTGTTTCGGCGATCTAACCCCGTTTAGGTCGGCGAAGTATCTCAGAAGTTGTCCGTCCATAGGGCAACATTCACTACGCATTCTCCTACTCAGGGCTGGCATCGAGTCAAACCCTGGGCCAGAAATATACACCTGCTGTGTATGTCGGAGACGTTTACACCACAACTCCACCTCAGTCAAGTGTAATGCCTGCGAGGGGTGGAGTCACCTCAGGGTCTGCTCGGGACTACGGACACACAGACAGTGGACCACGTCGTACGTGGCCCCCTGTTGCTCAAATAGAGCAGCCTCCACGGCAACCCATAGTCCGCCCGTGCAGCCCCACACACTCACACAGCAACCACACACAGTCGCCACAACACAACAACATACCACAGCCACCACAGACCACATAACACACACAACCGCACCACCACCCACACGCCGCCGCCAACAACTCTTGGTTCCCCCTACAATCTGCACGGTATGTCAGACCAGAATATTCCGTAATGTGACATCAGTCAAGTGCAACACCTGCCTTGGCTGGTGCCACTTTAGGGCATGTTCAGGTCTGCGCACCACGCGAGATTGGACGGGGAACTTCGAGGGCCCGTGTTGCGCTGCTCGGTCGCTGACGTCAATTGCGACGCCCCCCCACTACCACCACAGGGAGGCAATCACCCCAGCAGCGCACACAGCCAACGGCGGCAAGAACATACACCTCACTCACACCCCGCATCACAACACGTCTCCCGAACCACATGAAGCTCCTACAATTCAACTGTAACGGGCTACAGAGCAAGATTGAGGAGATAACCGCCTTTATGTGTCGGCATGGTATATTAATAGCTGCGGTCCAAGAGACGAAGTTGCACAGCAATTCAACTTTGTTGAATTGTGCCGGGTACAACGTGCACCGTCGAGATCGCGAGCGAGATAATGGTGGTGGCTTAGCGTTCATCACGCACCACACCGTGCAGTATCGTCTTATCGAAGCAGACATCGACCGCAGGGATACCACCCTAGAATGTCAGGGCATTGCTATCCGGTCAGGCGGTGTCGAGCTCGAAATATTTAATATATACATACCCCCTGTCACCTGCTGCCCGGCAGGATATCACCCTGATATAGGTGCGCTCCTCAGAGGTGAAAACCGTATGGTAGTAGGTGACTTCAATGCGCACCACGATCTTTGGCACTCAAGCCTGTCAAACGATCGTAGGGGAACAGACTTGGCTGAGCAGATAGACGATTCGACATTCTGCACAATGAACGACGACGCACCCACCAGGATTATGGGTAACTGCAGTAGCTCGCCAGACATCACAATAGTCAGCGCTGGTCTGATAAACAGCATAACGTGGCGACCTATGCTGACTCTAGCATCAGACCATCTACCCATAGTCATCTCGATTGACAAACCAACCGACTTTGCCTCCGCCAAACACCGGACCTATGTCAACTTCTCTAAAGCTGACTGGAAAGGTTACGCGGAGTTTACTGAAAACACCTTCACATCGCTCCCCACACCAACCGACGTCCACCTCGGTGAACGTAAGTTCCGCAGGGCTATCACTGCTGCTGCAGCCCGCTTCATACCGGCAGGGTGCATATCGGACCCACGTCCAAACTTCCCTGCCGAAGCGGCTGTTTTAGCAAATGAGCGTGATAGCCTTCGTCAGGCCGATCCCGGAGATCCCCGTATCAGGGATCTCAACGCGGAGATTCGGCAACTTGTAAACGTACATAAGCGGAAGAAGTGGGAGGAGCATCTGAAGACTTGCAACTTCACCTCTGGTGTGAGCAAGCTTTGGTCAACCGTGAGGTCATTGTCTAATCCGACGAAGCACGACGACAGAGTCGAAATTTCCTTCGGCGACCATGCTTCGTCGGACCCGGAGCGATGCGCGAGCTATTTTAGCCGGCAGTTCATACTGCATCCTCCGGGGGAAAAAGCCAAGCGTCGAGTGACCAGAAGGCTGCACAAACTGCCAACAAATTGTGCCCCCCTTGCTTTCACTTGCGGTGAAGTTCAGGTGGCCATCGGGAAGGCGAAAGCCTCCAAAGCCATGGGTCCCGACGGTATATGCATGCTGATGCTGAAAAATTTGGGTCCTGCGGGGGTAGCGTACCTAACGGAGGTCCTCAATTTGTCAATGGCCACTCTCATCATCCCAGACATCTGGAAGGTGGGGAGAGTGGTCCCACTGCTCAAACCGGGGAAACCTGCAAACAAAGGAGATTCGTATCGTCCGATTACACTCCTTTCCCCGGTAGCGAAGACACTCGAGGCCTTGCTACTCCCGTACTTCACAAATCACCTGACCCCAGCGAAGCATCAGCATGGTTTCCGTAAAGTGCACAGCACAACAACAGCACTTAACGCCATAAACACTCAGATAACTCGTGGCCTTAACCGTAACCGTCCCTGTGAGAGAACGATTCTAGTAGCGTTGGACTTGTCAAAGGCGTTTGACACCGTCTGCCATTCCACGCTACTAGAAGATATAGAGGCCTCCTCTCTCCCACAGAGGCTCAAACGGTGGTCGGCAAATTATCTAAGTGGTCGACATTCGTCGGTAATGTTCAGAGACAAAACGAGTAAGCAGCGAAAAATAAAACAGGGGGTTCCTCAGGGTGGTGTCCTTTCCCCGCTACTGTTTAACTTTTATATTTCAAAGCTCCCTCAACCACCAGAGGGAGTCTCGATTGTCTCCTATGCCGACGATTGCTCGATTATGGCGACTGGGAATGGAATTGATGACCTGTGTTCGAAAGTAAACGGCTATCTCTCCGAACTTTCTCGCTTCTTCACTGCAAAGTGTCTAGCCCTCTCCCCTACGAAATCCTCCGCGACCCTGTTCACAACCTGGACGAAGGAGGTCAGGCTACCGCTGGGGATTCACGTCGATGACACACCAATTCCGACGGTGAATAACCCCAAAATACTCGGAGTAACTTTCGACAGCCTGCTCTCCTTCTCAGCGCACTCAACCGCTATTGTCAATAAAGTACAGAGCCGCAACAAGGTCCTCAAGTCGCTAGCCGGCAGTACTTGGGGCAAAGACAAAGAAACGTTGCTGGCAACATACAAGGCAATAGGCCGGCCGGTTTTGAACTACGCAGCGCCAGTGTGGTCGCCTGGGACTAGTAGGACGCAGTGGACGAAGCTACAGACCGCACAAAACACCGCACTGAGGACAGCAACGGGATGCCTCCTGATGACGCCTGAACACCACCTGCACGGCGAGGCGCAAATGCTCCCGGTAAAGGAGCACAATATAATGCTCTGCAAGCAGTTCCTGATCGGGACCCACAGAAGTGGCCACCCGTGCAGACAGCTGCTTGCAGAGGAGCCCTCGCCTAGGCACGTCAGGAGGCATCTATATGAACTAACGGACGAAGTCCAGAGGTTCATTAAGCAACCTCTGGACCCGACAGCCTACAGACAGGCCTTGAACGGCATTCACAGGGACTCAGTCTCGAGTTATGTAGACTCTAGACCTGTGAATGCCGTTCTAGGCACACCACCCCCGGACATTGACGAGACGGAGCTTCATCTGCCTCGGGAGACGCGCACCACACTTGCACAACTTCGCTCCGGCTACTGCAGCAGGTTAAACTCCTACCTGAGTAGGCTGAATGAGGATGTGCCTAATGAATGTCCGGCATGCGGAGAGACCCCACATGACTCGAAACATCTCTTCGCATGCCCGGCAAACCCGACATCCCTAACGACCTTGTCCTTATGGGCAAACCCCGCAGAAGCTGCACGCTTCCTAGGGTTGCCGTTAGTGGAACTTGACGACAACGACTGAGATACCAACCGATCTGGGCGGGGTTGTTGTAGCCGCTACAACAACAACAACAACGCATTACGTTGTTAGTTGCAAAATAACGTGCAGCCGAAGTTATTTCCAAGCGCCGAACTACTCCGAGCGACTGCTCTGCATTATACGTAACTTACTTTGTAAAGCGGCTCAGAAGTAATACTTTACCAGCAACATTTGAATGAAATTATTTTTAAAAATAAGAAAGTTGGTAAAAAAAATATCTACATGGATCACCCTTGTACAGATGTACATACATAAGCGCGAAATGAATTTTAAAACATTTCCTGATATCTTTCTCATCTGAGTAATTGATATCTAAAAGGAATTTGGCTATGTACTCACTTGAATTTCGATTCCTCGAACTCAGCGTCGTAGTCCTCCGGATTCGACAAGAATCTCTTTTGTGTAAGAGTATATGTATTACCATCCTTCGCCACTTCCACAACAGGCAAACCCATTTGTTCAGTCCATGTTTGCATGATTAATCTGCAAAAAAAAATAAATAATTTTTTCTTAAGTATTTATCCTCCAACCAAGGCAGTGCGCTTACTTACTTAACATCAAAATCAGATTCTAATGCTTCAATTTCTGTTAAGAAATCGTCAGTCTCTGCGTTGCTGTAGTAAAATTTAAGCAGATAATTCTTAGTGGCATTGCGGAACTTCTCCTCACCCACCAGATCTTCTAACATACGTATTACGGAAGCGCCTTTCGAATATGTTATGCTGTCAAAGAGTTCTGTAATTTGCGCAGGACTTTCAACTGTTTGCACAATGGGATGTGATGCCAAAGTGGCGTCAAGATTGAGCACACTATGCAAATCAGAGGCAAGAAATTGATCAAGCTAATAAAGAAAATTAAACAACCATTTTAATTTAATTAAACATTTTCCAGTGCCAAATGAAACCTATTTACCATGTCCCATTCTGGATGCACTTTATTAATTCCTTTGTATTCAATATAGCTGGCGAAGCCTTCATTCAGCCACAAATCATTCCACCACTTCATGGTAACTAAAAAACGTATGAGAAAATATGTATATTAAAGAGATTGAACAGCTCAATTAATTCAGTGTGTAAACTGTTTAGTTTGAAGCAAGGTCATTGCATTTAAAATTCTGCTAAAGCTCTAGCTACACTCTTGTAGCCGGTGTTTGTAATAGTGGGCAATTATTTAAATGAATATGCGAATACCAAGTTATCATTTGAAAGCAAAAGACAAAATAAATAGTTAGGCAGCCAATTTTCTAAGAATGTATTCGGCATTCTTTAGAATGCGCGGAATATTGCACTTGCTGTTAACATAATACAGAAGTTTTAAGTTAGCGCCATAGACGCAGAATACCTTTGATTATGCGATGTTAATTTTTGTTTTATGTAATAAATGAGGAATTGCAAAAATAGTGTTTTAAGTAATCCCATAAATATACCTAACGGATTTTAAGTCATTTAAAATAAACATTTTACCCAGATTTCCGAACCACATGTGTGCTAATTCGTGCGCCACCACAGTAGCTACCCGCTGCTTATTAGCACTCGAACTGATTGTAGGATCATACAGCAGCGCTGTTTCCCGATACGTCACCAGACCCCAATGTTCCATGGCACCCGAAACAAAATCAGGTATCGCAGCCATATCTAATTTTGGTAGCGGATAAGATACGCTGAAGTACCCAATGTAATATTCGGTGATGCCGACACCAATATCCAAGGCATAAGTGACCTTATCAATTTGATTGGATGTTGCAAACACACGCATTTCAAAATCATCAGCACCTTCGAGGGTGCCATTTACGGTTTTCGACTGAGAAGCAAAATCAGATACAATTATACAGGCCAAATAAGTGCTCATGGGCACACTTTGCGAGAAAGTTACTTCCGTCACATTACCATTAACGACTTCAGACTGGAATTAGAAAGGATATTTGCAAATATAATATTTCTTTTCTCAAATCTAATATAAATCAAAAGCTTACTTCGATAGGCATATTTGATAGCGCGTGATAACCACCCTCGGTTGGACGCACTACTGTAATGATGAAAGCGGCTTTTAGCGCTGGTTCGTCGAAGCAAGGGAAAGCAGTGCGGGCATAGGTTGGTTCGAACTTGGTGGTGGCAATCCATCTACAAAGTAAGAAGACAGTCTTATTAAAGCGGTCAGTGAATAATGTACTATATATATACAAATACTACAATTTTGAGCATGCTTTACAATTACATTAACTTTGATTTGTCTTTACTAAATCACACCTTCGTTCTTTCGTTTTGCTATCCAAATACGACGAGGCATAGAAACCCACTATACGATCGGTTAGCGAACCGTTAAATGCTAATTGCAGCGTATAGCTACCAACTTGCAATGGATCCTTGAATTCCGTTACCCAATACTCGAATTCCGGATGTGCAAATGTCAATGTTGGCGAGAGCTTAGCCACGGGCGCACCAGCTTCACCCAACTGCATTACCTCCTCTGTGCTTACGTTTAACGTTTTCGCATGCACGGGTATGTACGATATTGGTTTCACCACTTCCAATTTGATTGTAATAGTGCCCTGATAAAGTTTCTTCACCATATCAGGTTGCAGACGTAAACTGTAGTGTTGTGGGCGAATCTCTTTGGGCAATCGAAAACTCAGTTTCTCCAATACTTTGGAGGCGGCAGCCACGGCTGGATCAATAGCTAATTTTGCGGATTTCATTTTCGGTTTGCTTATTCTAGTAGCTGCAGAAGTGGAGAAATCGGTTGTTGTTCTTATCCGTAAAATTGATAAATTTGCTGGCGAAAACAGCTGTTCATTTGTCAAATGTTCGCCGGCTGTTGTTGTTGTTGTTGTTGTTGCAGTGGCAGCTGCGGGCCCATTCACAATTGTGCGACCGACGTAAATGAGCGCGCCCAGTAGGAATGCGCACAAAACAATCAGCACCAAACAAAAACCGACAAGCGTTATGAATGCGTTATTCGGTTTTTTGCGGCAGTGCCGTGAATCACAGTCTCGGATACGATAATGATGGTCGTCGGTTGATAAGCTGGAGCGTGGCCGAACCGGCGGAACTTTTGATTGCGGGTACATAGGTGTTTCTTTATTTATGTGTTTTCTTTATGAAAGATATAGTTCTATATATTTGAATTTTTGGCACTAATATTTACAGCATTTTTCGGTGTTGATATGATGATCTATATGGATGTTTCAGATTTATTAATTTAAAAAAAAAAAACAAATTGCTACTAACTCCGTAGGCGATGTGGGAATTTTAGCTGTGTATGTACATATGGACATACTTACATACATATGTGTCATGAATTATTAATTCATGGTTATGTTGGGTCGTCAAAAACCGGACTCGGTACTCAATATGTGCCCCGCCCCACCAGAAAAAAATTTATAAATTTCTTTTAATCATATTTATAGATTTAGTAAACTTTTTTATTTTATAACTTAAGTTTCGGTAGCATTTGGGGCTCTGAAAATTCCTTCGTTTGTGTAAAATGCAAGAAAAAGCATTTAAACAAGAGTTTTTCTCATTGGCAAATTGTTACAAGTAAAAATTTATACAGTAAAAACTAGCAACTTCCCAAAAAAATTTCTCAATTTCTCCTTTGCGTGACTTTCCATCCCAAGAAATTTAGGGGTTTGAGCTATGTTGACAGTCCTTTGTCCAGTTCCGATTACGTAGCCCCAAATGTCGTAGGAACGAGAGATACTCGGCTTTATTACCGACCCTTAAAGCGGACCTCATGGGAGAGAGATGATAGTTGATACGGTGTAGATAGATAGACAGACAAATATAGTATGCACTACAACCAGTAGGTCGATTGTGCTCTCATCTCATCTCAACACTGAATATAGGCCTAAAGGCTCTTCAAATTCCAGAAAAGATCGCGTGGGTAGACAGCGTATGTAATCTCTTGCCGATAGATGTCCTATGCACCTCTCCCTTCTCCGTGTAACGGTCACACACTGTAGGAGGAGGTGCAAGAATGCCTCTTTGGCGAAGTAGCAAAAGCGACAAAGATCGCTTTAAGGCAACCTGTACCCCTTTAGGTTGTATCCCCCTAGTAAGTCCGCTGCCAATGCAGTCGATTCAAACAACTATCTTATTTTCTGAGCACTTCCTGTATCGTGCTGGGACATACCGACTACCATGTACACTGGTTCCCATATCAGTTGGATAGAATCGTTCTTAGCTCGGGCATTAGGCAGTGTGGGCAAAATGTTAATCTGATTTACGATTAAAATGTTAATCGCGATTAACGATTAAAATTAATTAATCGTAATCATCCGTAATGAATTAATCGTAGTAATCCAAACGATTAATGATTAAATGTTTTTAATCGTTAAGCCGCTCGGCAGGCAATGGCAAACCTCCGCGTGAATTTCTGGCATGGAAAGACTTCTCATAAAATCTATTTGCCGTTCGGAGTCGCTGTAAAAATGTACATAGGTCCCTCCCCTTTGTGTAAAAATATCAAGGCGCACACCACAAATCGGAGGAGAAGCTCGGCCAAACACTTAGCAAAAGTGTAAGCGCCAAAATATTATATCCTGTCGAGAATACCCTAAAATTTTATTGCAGCATTAAAGGCAATATCTATGTAACGATACCTGAGTGGAAGATCGACCCATCTCGGCAGCCAGTTCGTAAACGCCCTATCTCAGGAAACTTTTTAAGAACGCCCTATTTCAGAATTTGGTTGAAGAACGCCTTATCTCAGCTGAAAACACATTGAACATGTGCTGAGATGGGTAGTTTTTTTTACCCGGCATGGTATGTAGCGACTGAAGGTGAATTAAAAAAGGTAAATGCACATTTTATGTTCACAAATATCCGCATCTCATTTGTAACTGACTGAGCTATTACATGTCTTATTTGGATAATCATCAAAAGCATTTAATTTTAATGCTAATGCTAATCTTGAATTGGTTAATTCACGGTTTTCAAATCTCATACATATTTACACACACTCACAAGCATACTACATCCATTGAAGTTTCTGCAATGTGCATTTGTTTGTTGATTTACATCTATTTCATTTATTGCAAAATTAAGTTAGTTTATCTATGTCAGTGAATGTACGAATGCTTTGTTGAAATCAATAGACACGCGAAGACTTTTTGTACTTTCGTGTGAAATGACAATGAGATAACTAATGAAATTAAAAATAATTTAGTTGCTCGCAATGCTTGACTCACGTACATACGAGTTAGAGGGCTGCATGAATTCATTCAAAACGGCTTGTGAATTATTCATACACAAAGCGAATGAATGATTTTGGCTTTGAGTGAATATCTCCTCTAATCGGTGTTACAATATTCAAAAAAGTGAAAATACATTGAATTAAAATAAGTGACAATTGTATGAATATCCAAAAATATTTTTACTATGCACATACATATGTACAAACATATATATATATGTATTACGATACGAACAAATTTGTTTGCAGAAAAAAATTGAAAATGAGTTCTAATGATTAGAATGTTTTTCATTCATTCACAATCTTCCATTTGAAGGGAGACAATTTAAAATAAAATGTATATTCATAACTTACAAAATTCCAAACGCTGAGTGTTTTGTATGTGAAGTAAAATATTCAAATCTACTGTACTCTGTTTGGCTTGAAGTTTGAAGGTATTTATGCAGCCCTTTAATACGAGTACTAACATGTTACACATATTTCTCAAAATTAAACAAGTAAAAAAATGGAAGTTTTTGATCTTAGCTACTACTATAAAGGTTAATAGTTTTGTATACATATTTGTATAATTATTTAATTTCCTGAAGAAAACCAATTTTTTTTCTAACGATTAACACGAGGTTAGGAAGAGTTAATTTTTTGCTTTCAGACAAACTTTGAGTTAAAACACTCTTGAATAACGTGTGCAATATATTGAATGAATATGTGCCTGTAAACAATGTAACTGGAGCAACAAATCGCTATGAAGTAATAGGAAAGTGTAAATAAAAAATTCCATGCAAAATGTAATTCGTTAGAAAAGCAGCTTTGTAACTATGTATAAAAGTATATATTTGGAGTTATAACTTCCTATATTAGTTATGCGAGTAATATAGTCGTTAATAATGAGTTTCGAGAGCGAAGTTTGCACTTTGAAGTTTCACCTAGTTGACTTCAATCGCCGAAAGTTGACATACATAGAGTAAAATACATTGTAAAGGCCTTAAACTGATTGGTGAAAAAAATTAAAAGCTTTTGAGCTGGAAAACTATCGATGGCAGTACCGAGAGTATCGATGGTTTGCCTTTTACTTCCACTATCGACACTATCGTTTTTAGATTGTTACTATCGATAGTTGTTGTTCATATAAAAGTGCAAATATAAACTTAACTAGCTTATATCCGCGGGTTTTACCCCAAGTTTTTATACAAATAGAGAAACTAATTTAATGATAGTATATTTTATTTCTTTGCCCATTTTGTCAAAGCTCTATATTTTCTAAGCGGGTTAAAGTATTTAGGCCGTTTAAAACTATGTCTGTCAGTACGTTACTTTTAAAATAAATTTCTATAATAAATTTAAAATACTTCCAGAGATTTTCCATCCTTCCGAAAATGTGAATTAAGAAAGGTTAGGCCACGTGCCTGCTTTTTTAATAACTCACATTTTTTCCATGATTGATAAATTATGTATACACAACTCTATACCAAGTCCAAGTACTCTACCGTGAACATCTCTAGAGATATGCAGTATAAAAAGGTAAATTTGTACGAGAGGTACCACACCCCCTTTTCGAATAACGCAAATTTTTCTTCATGAGTGTGGAATTAATTTTGTACACACATCTCGGTGCCAAGTTCCAGTCCTCTGCAATACAGCATAGACAAACTTTGTCCAATAACTCTAATTTTTCTCCATGAATGAGTGTGGGATTAGTTTCACATACATACATACATACATATGTATTTCCATACCAAGCTTGAATACTTTACCCCAAATATTTGAAGAGATATGCAATATGAAACTTTCACTCAGTATGGAAGGTGCTACGACTCTATTCCAAAAAACGTCCATTTTTCTCTGTGAGTATGAATTTGACTTCACATACATGTCTCCATACCAAGCTCCATTTCTCTCCCACAAATACTTCCAGAGATTTGTATGTATGTATTATGAAAATTCCAATTAGCGGAATTACTTTCAGTATAAGCTATTAAGTGTGCCAAATTTCGTTCTGATCGGGAAACCGGTTAAGGAAGTAGCCTATTTTTCAATTCAGGTCATAAACCATCTGTGAGCAAAATTTCATTTTCAAACAGATGGCAAATCTTAAAAAAGTAGCCTATTTTCCAATCTAGGTCATAAATTATCTGTGTGCAAAGCTAATTTATTCAAAATTGATACTTGCAACAATTCTTTACCAAGAAATACGTTTATAATAAAATTTTGTAAAATGTGCGTGACACCGCCCACTTATGATCACATATGTATATCTCGGTATAATTCGACGTTCTATGTGCGGCGTTGAGTTTTTGAAATTCTGTTGCTTACGGTCTCCCGCATTTTATTTCCTAAGAAATTCATGCTTGTATGGAAAAAAGGACAAAAATCCGCCACAAAAAATAAATTCTCAAAACTATAAAACTCCATTGAGGGGCGGAGTTCGAAATTTTTCAACCTTATATCGCTTGTTGAATAGAACAAGTTCGGTTTAGGAGGGGTTAACCCCTAGACCGTTTCTTTCTAACCACCCTGCCGAATCGATAATTGTAGAATTTAGACAAATGAAATGACAGATTTTAGTTTAAATTTAACCGCAGTATTTTGGGGCTAGCAGGTTTTGCTCCTGGGTAGTTGTGCTATCAAAACGAGTACAATATGGAAAGCCGGTTAAAGAAAAAGGTAACTACATACAAACATATGTATTTGCATACAATAAAATTTGACCACGAAAATGTGAGAAACCAGCTTATGGCTCTGTGACTAATCAGAAATTTAATTAAAGTTTAAAACTCTTAAAATTTGTAGACATGTATGTATGTGTTTATTATACTATGTATACTATGAAAGTATTATTATGAGTATCGGTCAAAATCTGCGCTATATATGTATGTACATACATTTAGATATTTAATTAATGTGAGGTTAGGTTACCCCAGATGACAGAAAAGTGCTATAAAAAATAATACTAAACAAAATATTTATATCGGTAAGGCCAC